TTAAATGTCAGCTGTTACACTGACAGCGTTTACAGTTCAATTCCCTTTGGATTTAGACTTCATGCATAAATGTTGACTAGTTGCATCTTAAGGACTGAATGGCAGACAACTTTGAAAGACAAATACTTATTTTAGGTCCTGAGCACTTAAGACCAATTTCAGCCTGCTCTTGACACCTTAGCTCAACATGTTGTACCTATACGGTTAAGAACCGTAGTGTTTTTTTAGGCTAGCTCAGTTGTGATTCTTCCAACTGAGAAATTCGCTAATTGTATGTTTCCTTATGTCTCCTGATCTTCAATGAGTTATTCATGCTTTTGTCTTATCTTGATTGTTGTCAAGTTATGTTTACATGCCTTTATTAGCAGCTTCAGGGCCTTACGGTGAAGACAAATAAGTGGTTTTGTGTTAACAATTATAGCCCCTGCTCACCTGTGGCACTTATGTCTACACAGCTGCTATCTCATTGGCTGTGCTTTGAAAGGTCAGCGGTAACAGAGGTCAAAGCTGAAATTATTCTAACTTTTGGTGCACTGTTTGCAGGCAATTTCTCTTGATGCTAGCTGGGATTGTGTGTTACAAGAGACTGCCAAGAGATGTGAGCAGATTTAACTATCCTATAAAAAAAGACAATACTGAGCCATTAACCAGATTTTGTTGGTCAATTGTGTAATTGCTTTTTACTGTTCACCATCTTACACTGCTGTGTTGGCTTGCTGACATCAACAGTAATTAGCACTAATGTCATTAATTGTGCAGGTTTGAACGTATATAGGTGGTAATGTTGCTAGATAAAAAAAATGGGATCACAAAGAGTTGACAATAAATGGGAACTATGAATCTACTAAATATGAATCACAATACATTCCAATATGATCTGATTGATACGCTGCTGGAGAGGCTAAAAAAAAAAGATTGGATAACAATTTGATAGTGAGAAAAAAGACAGAAATCTAACTTGCCATCGGCACGTCTTCGAGCCTCTCGAAGTTGGATCTTCGTGATTTGGTACATTTTATGGTGACAACAACTAGCAGAAGGATAAGGACAATACAGAAGATGCAGAGTATTGCAACGAGGCCGGGATTGTTTTCCAAGTCAGCTGTTGTCCATTCAGGTGAAAGACCTGAGGGGGAGACAAACCAAGAAGTTCCTTTGTTACTCGACAAACTAGATTTACATCATTTCTGCTTCAGTAAAAAGAAAAAAGGTGTTGAAAAGGAAATCATTGCAAGCAGAGAGCTCCTAAAGAGAAACATGTGGAGGTCAACATGTTGGCAGTTTTGAAAAGCATGTTTAAAGTTGCTTAAATTGTAATGATTTTCAGCCTGTAATTTTACTGGTGAAAGAAACGCCACTCAGCTCAGATATCTTTTACATGCAGGAAACAGCCATTATGGGACCATATCTATATAAGTTACATTTTTTTGAAAGCTTTTAGTTATGTCATATTTTTAGAAGTCTATTTTATTTCTAAGTCTGACCTTGGATGGTTGTGTTTACAGTGGAGGCTGCAGTGACGTTTGTTGAGTCTGGTGGGAGTGTCACTTCGTGGGAAACTGTCTCGTTAGACGTGGTGTTGGTTGTGGTTGTCTGAGGAGAAGTGACACTGGGATGAGTTTCCTCTGTCCTGTTGGGAGTTTGTGAAGAAGTCTGCAGTGATGCTGTGGACCCTGTTTTTGTAGTGACTGCAGTGGTAATCTGTAGTGTTGTTGAAGGAGGCAGTTCTGTGTTGGTGGTGGCTGTCACATTGGCACTATTCTTCTCTGCAGCCAAACTTGTGTCTATCTCGGCTGAGGAGACAATGTCTGCAAAAGAACAAACAGCATAAAAAGCTCTGTCAGGATGCACAACATTTACACCTGATCAAGACAATGCTGGAGTGTTTGTTGGATAAACAATGTCTCTGTTTTGACCCAATCATGCATACAATTTCAACACAAGGTTCATCCTTTTCCCATATCCATTGATTGTGAGGGTGAAACAAAACAAAAACTATTCATCATGAGTAATTGGTTGAGTATTCAATTGTAACGTCACTAAAGGGAGGTTCGTCCTGTTTGAATTTCTTCAAAGCATCCCACCGTTAGAGAAGCAGGGATTTGCAGCCGCTCTTATAAGAAATATGCCATCAGGTGTAATATTTGTTTCATCAATAAGAGTGGGCACACACAGTACTTTAAGCCTCATAGCCATTGTTACAGCAGGCTCATAGGACACAAAACCATTACAAGTGTGAGCCATTTCCACCTTTAATGTTTCAGTCCAATAAGTTGGTGACTTTTTGACTCATTTGACTTTTTGACTATTGCATCGCTCTATCACAGATATGCAGTAGTTCTAAGCACGAGGCAGAATATGACCACCAAATAAATATTTTAATGTTTGATGTTTCATTTCATTTCAATCTTTATTTCTAACAGATTACAAAATAACAAATACAAAAAACAGAATACTGTATTGTTGGAATACAGTATTTATCAATATTCATAATATGTATATATTCAACAAAAAAGTAATATTTATATATTCAACACAGATATTCATAATAATATTTATATATTCAACAAAAATGTTCATATTAATATGTATATATATATATTCAACAAAAATATAATAATAATAAATCATATGTGTCCGAAAGGGAGCAGGAGGAAGCAAATGCTTATTAATTCCCACCCCTTACTGCTGATCATTGATTGTCCTTTAAATCATTTCTGCAAGTTATTCCTACTTACATATTTACATTTACAATAATTTCTCATCTTCAATCACCTTTCTTCATTCTCATAGTTTTCCAAAAAAGTGTTTCTGTACATCCTTAAACTGAATTATATGTGTGCTTTGTTTTAACTCCTGCTCCAAACCATTCCATAAAATCACCCCACAGATTGTTATTTCCTCTCAAATTATACCCACCCTCTCTGTCTATGAACAATGTTTGTAATTTCCTAGGAAGTAGATTATTTCTTGCTCTGTACCTGATTTGTGCAGTTTTAAATTGAACCAGATCAGTGTGTGTGACTTCAAGAATAATGCATTAGTGTGTTCAAGATATCCAACATGTTGACGTTGAAAAACATTTTATATTCAATTGAAATACTTACTGTTCATTTTGATTAGTGACATAACAAAGCAGTTCTGTTAATTAGCCAAGTTGAGCTATTGGATGTAATGTGTTTGTCCGGGTTTCATTTGCTGAGTAAATGTAATATTCTGCAGACAAAGCTCTGCAGACAAAGCACTAATCCAAGCAGCAGCCTTGTTAGTGTTAGCAGAAGCCATCAGGTCCTGTAGCCCCACCCAGGTGAATAAATATTGGTCATAGGGTCATTTAACCACACCTCTGCTCTGTATAGGGCATAGAGAATATACTATTTATTTACTGAAATATATGATTATATTATAGAATAAATACATTCACAGGGGCATTGGACACCTTGAGTTTTGGATACATTAGTGCGTCTTACTGAATAAACTTATATTTACTTGATTCACATTTGTAATGCAGGACTTAACAACTGCTCCGTCTCCTGATGAATGAACATTAGCTCTTTAAAATGGACCTCAATTGATTGTTGTGTAAGCTAATGGATCTCTCTTTCCTTTTTTTAAGGCACAGTTTTGTCCGCTAATGATGATGATGATGCACATAATGGTGGTGGTCAGCTGGCATGTTGTTTGCCCTTTAAATGTTTGCAGAAGCAGACGCAGTAGGTTCAGCTCAAGATAACTTTCACTGGTTAAATATTTGCTTAAGTTTCAACTCAGACGTGACCTTCCCATTTACTTCCTTCTGGGATTTAACAATACCAGTTCCTTCTTCACTTTAATAATCTGTTATGTTACATAAACAAAACTTTGACATTTATATTTTGGAATATAAATGTAAGATTATAAATGTTTTTCTCTCAGTACAGGGTTTATGCTTCAAATTATTAAAACAGTTATGGTCTCAGAAATGTCTGTTATAGGTGTGGAAAGTATACTAAGTTCCATGTGTTCCTGCATATTGAGGAAGAACTACCTTCGACGTCTCGCTGCTGGTAGTTCCCCGTTTGCATGACTTTGCATCTTTATAAGATTTAAAGATGACGTCAAATGACTAAACAAATAAAACACATATACACATACATATAGTTTCCAGGTAAAAGTGGGAAATGCTGCTTACCTCCACAGAAAGTCACTGCAAACAGGGACACCAGCACAGTGAGGTGCATTGCTGCAGTCATGTTGAGGGTGGAAAAGGCTGGCAGTCATAAACATTCAACCACATTTACATCCTTGACAGCAGGATGTGTAGAGAGCCTGAGAAGGAGTGGTCTAAACGCAGCGTTGGAGCATATCAAATCTTTCCAGCTGATAAATCAATGTTTGAACAATGCTCTCTATTCTCTCTGGATGTAAAGTGACATGCTACTTTACTTGCTTCTACTGCTGAAATGGTGTTTTAAAATATATATGTTTAACCAGGTCACCGCATTAAGCTCATATATGTATTTACAAATGGTGACATGGAATAGCAGCAACACAGGTTTAAACAATTAACACAAATGCACATAGAGCTGATTAACATTAAACTGTTACACATTTGCACACAAACAGCCAGCACTCCACAGATTTCACCATAGTTTTGAAACCCATTCAGCGTCACTGTGTTTAGACACCACTACATTTATTTGATCATTTAAGCTACCACTTTTTAGATTCATATAACACAAAATATATATAAACTGATACGTTATGTATTACTGTAGGTGAAACTACCATTACAATAGCATTCCCACCTTTCCAACTAACACATTTAAGTGATATTCATATTAATGTATTATTATTTTTAATTCAGTAACATATGATTCTGAAATTGGCCATTGCATTTCACTTTTGGTACTTTGATAAATGTGATTTTCATAAAAAAGATTGTAAACAACTGTATGTTTTGAATCCAACACAATGTATATGTAAGTTTGAGGTAATTTAACAATAAAACAGTCAATTCATCAGATTTTAGATTTGTTTTAGTGTTTCTACACAGATTAGTATGTATACATATTTTCTAAAGATAATTGGCAGTTTCGAAATGATGGAAACAGCAACATCAAAGATGATTTGAACAAAGAAATTAAATATATTTACAGAATTGCTTCACAGATTTCCACTTTCATGTCAACATCATGTCTATCAGCACAAATACTGATTATTCACCTGATATGCCAAAACTAAGAGTGCTTCATTCATAAATGAACAGCTGTAGAGTTACAGTGCAGTTCATCCAATCACACATCGACATAGTAAAAAACACTGCAGTTTGAAAAATAAATGAATTCCACATCTTCAGCCTGTCTTGAATCAAGTCCACACATGTATCTGAGGATTCAGTTTGATATCATAAAAATATAGTAAATATTTTATAATAATTATTTTATAGAGTACGAGCGTAATCACAAAGTGAGGTATTTTTATCGGTACCTCAAAGGGAGAAACTGCAGACAGGGTTATTTGGCATGAAAACATGTTGCAGCACCGGTCTACATATTACGGCAAGGATAGCACAGGTAAATATGATAATAAAATCATAGCCGTTTTATATTTCATGTCAAACGAGAAATATAAAAAATATAAAGGAATGCCACTCTATTGGACAGTTGAAAACTTTGAGTGCAACAAAAAAGATGAAAGCTTCACACTAAAAACGCAACATGAGCTCATGGTGAGGCGTAAAGCGTGCTGCTTAAACAACATTTACCGTGTCATTGAACGCATTTTACCTCGTGTCATTTAACGTCATGTTCTCAATACCAACATGTTACATACGTATGAAAATTTCCCGTTTAAAACAGGGCAATTTTGTCAATTCTAACTACTTGGTTAGGTATGGAAAGATGATAGTTAGGTCAAAATAACATTATGTAAAAAAGTATCATGTAATTTAAGTACACTAATATGTCAGAGTTGATGTCTGGAACACACTGGAAACAAACAGTGGTCAGATTCTGTTGTGTTTGTGTTTGTTTGACCCCTCCATCCATGTTATGACATGTTAATGGCAGCGGTTACACTCATGTCATCTGAGGAAATCGCATGACAGGCAGTAAAGCAGCTTTTCATCCCTGAATATTCTTACAGGAGTGCATATCATTCAGATATAAATAAAAAATAAAAATTGGGAGAGAAAACTCTCCAGAAATGAAGGGAAAAGTGTTCCAGCACTTCCACTTTAGCATCCAAAACTCCTCTGAGTTCATGCAGGAACAGGTGGTCATTTAAAACTTGAGAGAGGAACCATTTGTTTGAGAAGAAAGAAATCTGTTTTGTGTTTAGTATTGCAATTTTGCAAAGGCCGAAAAATAAGATTGAACGGATAAAAACAGCAAAATGTTCTTGGCCTCCTATATATATGACATAAGAGTCAAGCATTCAGTCCAACTCTAATTATTCTTCTTCTCCAGAGGTTTAGACGGTGGGAGTGCTTCCTGCTGTACATCCACAGCACTGCCGTCTGATAAAGGCTCAGTGAGGGGGCTGTCATCCTGACGACACAAAAGAAACCAAAACACACAACATAAATAACATTGCTTCACTATTCTACTACTGAGCAAGTAGCAAACTGACACAATTAATAATATGAGCACATAAATGGTGGATACGAGTTTTGAAATACTGTATAGAAAGGCCTTTCTTTCTTATTTAAGACAGAATATGTACAGTAGTCAATGTTGAAAGACAATTAATAATTGTTAGATCGCTTTTGAGTTGGTGTGAAATTTCCAATTCAATAATAATAACTTTTCTGAAAAAAGTTAAAACCACGCTGTTTACTTTGAATCTCCTGTGCGGCTGACTTACTCTGTGTTTCAAGTACGACAGGTAGGTGTCCCAGCCTAAAGTGACAAAGTTGATATACACAACGCGGAATTGGGGTGAGAGGAAGTAGAAGTTGATCATCTGAGCGGCAGGCCAAACACAGCAGTCCGCCTGCAGGTAAGAACAACACAGAAATATAACACAAAGCAAACGTGTTTAAAACGGTCACTTTAAGCTGGCTGGTATAAAACGTGGGGAGCTGATGCAGGAAATATAATCTGGGACACGAAGCCTTAGAGAAGAACTTGTGATGAGTGAACAATAATGTGAGGACACTATCTGCTCCTCCAAGTGTACTTGCCCGGTAAAATTCCCAGAATTTGTCTTTAAACTCCTTCATTCCTTCGGATAAAGTGTGTCCCTCCATGGCTCCCATACCTGCAAAAACCAAATACAACATCTGTCAAATCATACCAGTTTATCACAGACGACCTTTGAACTCGATTCACTTCTGATATTGACACACACTAGGTTCATCTCAATGTCCCTCCTCGACTCCTCGCTCCCCTCTCCTCCGGGACTTGACCTGGAAATCGATCATGACACGCGCCATGTTGAAGGACGTCCCAATCGCTTAAATGCACACGGAGGAGTCGAGGAGGGGGAGGGAGGAGGCTTCCAGAGGAGACGAGAGCGAGGAAACAGGAGAATAGACTACGCGGAAGTGTTTTCACTACTCGCGCATCAAAGCTCCGCCCCCAGCTGCACAGCCTCTGCTCACTGCAGCTGTTAAAGGAGGATCAGAGGCATGTTTTAAAAGTGCTTCATTAAGAGTAAAATATATTAAATCTCTTAAACGAATGAGGAGATCATAGTCTATAAAAACATTAAAGTGTGTGAAATATACTTACAAATTCAATAATAATGTTTTGATTATAAAACAATAACTTACAGTTCTTACTTGTGGTTTGTGATGCATGGGTGGTAGACCCACAGAACGTCAAACATTTAGGATGTATAAAAATACGGGTAGCATAACTAATACGTATTTTAGTGATTTGTGTCTCTCTTCTGTAGGACAAATTAAATAACAACATCCAATACAAAAGTTGATCTGAAACAAGCTCAAATACCATAATGAAATTAATCCATCAATTATTATTATAATTATAACTTCAATGAAATGTTATAGCTGGAAAAACAAATACAGGACAGAAAATAATACATAGAAAACTATAATAAAAGAGATGAATGGAAGAGATGGACGAAATCATTTCAATGTGAAACTAAATCCCAGGTTTGAAGGGATTTATGTGGAGGGAAGTCCAGGGACAGGGGATAAAACTGTGCGCACGCCAGAAGTAAAGGGCGTTGTTTATGGTGACGCTGGAGTGAACGAGGACATCCCAACTCATACCTGAGGACTAATCTGTCCTAGCGTCTCTTCCTCGTGTGTCTCGCTCGCATCTTACGGAGGCGGAGCTAAGACGCAAGGAAGGGACGCGAGTGAGGGAAAGGAGGCTAAATAATCAATTGAGATGAGCCTATTGTCTTTTGTCTTACCTCACCCACGTCTTAACCTTTGACTCTGTACACTCTTATGCGTGTGTGGGTGATAGCGAAACTATTATTATGTGCTAAGAACTAAAAAAACGATGAGGGTGTTTAAGGGAAGAAGGAGACTGGCTGCTTGAAAACAATCAACTTTAAAATCTTCCTCACCTAAGAAATACCACATCCCCAAGAATGGTGAGGCGACCAGCTGGTCCACCAGAACCTTCTTTCCCACAGTTTTCAGAGCTCTACCCACGAACGCTCTGTCCAGAAAGATGTACCAGTAATGCAGCATGGGACCCATGGAGCAGCCCACCGTAAACATGCATCCTTTGGGAAAAGAGAGTCATGGGAATAGCAATAATTAACAGGGAATTAAACGGTCTTAAAAATGTAACACATTGCAAAAATATTCTCCAAAATGCCTTTGTTTTATATTTTAAAGACAGGGATACTTCACTCCATAAATGACCATTTGTATATCAGTTACTTACACAATGTTACCTTGAATTTAAGTAGACGGAGGCTGTGTTTAACAACAGCTTTTGGCCCATGCTTTTAGTCAGGGACGTGCACAGGTACGGGCTAATGTTGCCCGGGCAACGGCCGTTTGGCCTTTTTGGCTGACCTGCCCCTCTGGAGAGTGCGAGAGTTTGTTTTTCTTTTTTCTGTTGTGGACGAATCAACATGATAAGCCCACAATTAGTATTGTAGCGTCTCGCTGCGGGAAACACACTTTGTCAGCGCTGTCATCTGCCGGTGCGTTAAGACCACCTCAGTGTCGGATTTTGGAAACTTGATTTTGAGTTGTCTCATGGCAGTTAGGGTATAAGGGACAAACCAGGGGACTTAACTTCCTCTTGATACCGTCGGTTATTTACAAAAAAACACCTAAATATAGCCTACTTGTTATTGAGCTTCTGTCTTTCTGTGTCTTTTCATCTGTAAACTCCCTCAATGGGGCCGCTCGCTCTCTTTTCTTGATCGCCCTCTCACGGGTGAACAGTTTAATGTCCAACTTCATAGTAGGATTTCTGCCATGTCTCTACCACTTTAGTTTGACCATCTCTGTTACTAAGTTATGGAATAGCCTACTAAATAAATAAGTAATTAGATACCTTACCGTTACTGCGCGAATAAAGAATGATAAGAATAAGAATAATGCGTATTCAACTGGTTTCATTAATTAGTGAGTTTATTTAAGGTAATTAGTTAGAGGCCCTATTTTATCAGTATGTCTGCACAGCAGTTACAATGGTAAAACTACATTAGAACAGAATTGTCCCCATTTTGTCTTTAATAGTTACTAACATTAGATATTTTAATGAGATATGGACCGCAAAACAAAAAATTTCCCTGGTTTTCATTTTTAAAATCAAGTCACCGAATGCAAGTAGTCGCCTTAGCTTATTTTGTTATGAGATGTGAATTACTGTTCAATTTAGTTGATGTAATAATTGTTTGGTTTATTTTACATTAAAAACAAGTTACCATTTTCAAAAGGTCTTGTGTTTTTTTTCGGGGGAGGCCCTTTTTCCAGTTTAGAGCAACAGCCCCTCCAAATATCTGTGCACGTCCCTGCTTTTAGTGTTGCTGTTGTCAAAAAAACAGCCCCCCGTTTACTTTAATATATAAATAATAACCTCAGTTTTTAGATTCTACATTCATCATTGTGGAATTTCTTTTTTCTTCACAAATTCCCCGTCATAAAGGGTGAGTAATTGATATACAAATGATCATGTAGTGGATTAGGTATAGTTTATAGATACGGAGATTTGATTATACTGCTTGAGGGAGCTCCCCTTGTCTCTCTGTCTCACCTGTCCTCTTCCAGTCTCGGACTCGGCCAGGCTTCTTAAAGTTCTCACAGCTTTGCATCACGATGTCTCCCAGCCCCAATATTACTCCTCCGCTCAGGGTGTTTGTTAACAGCAGGGTTCGGCCCTCAAAAAAAGGCCGCCAGTTGAACCGCATTCGGACCACAAACTCTTTACCCACTCGGGGAAGCATGATGTCTGGACTGCAAAGAGAGTAGTTATTTTATGAAATAATAAGCATTCAAATAATAAAAAAAGTATTAAACACAGAACAATGTCACCTGTGACTATTATACTGTTTATATAATTGGATTAATATAATTTCACTTTTGTAATAGGTTGAGGTGAAGCACTTCTATAAGAATTTTGTAAAGCAATGCAATTTATTAGATTATTTTCATTCATACAGATTAATCTGCTGACTATTTACTCCATTGCTCATTTGAATAGTGGCCAATGGCGTCACAATTCCTCAGGTCCCGAAGTGACACATTCATAATCATTGTTTGTGCAACAAAAAGTCAACATTAAAAAATATTTAAAGGAGCAAGTCTTGACATTGGAAAAAGTTGTTTCAAGCCTTTCATAAGTTTACTGTGTTTAAATATTCATCCTGGAAAGTTACAATAGCTATCAGATAACGCAGTGAGTCAATTAAATCGTACATTAATCCCAAATTGGCATAAAAGGAAAGGACTTAAATCAGTAAAATCAGACACGGTTGAGTTTTCCTTGTCACCTACCTCAAAATGTGCAGTGCAGTAATGTCACTTGAATTAATGTCGTAACATGCTGCAGTATGCAACTTGTGACAACCAGTTGAAAGTAACGAGGTAAAGGTTCAAAGGTCAGGCAGGTGCTAACAGTTAGCCTTCAGCTAGTACTGAGGATGTCCGGCTTAGTTAAACCAGGGTTACCTGCTAGGCTGCTCTGACAATGTAGCAGCAGAAACCAGTTTACTGAAACGCCGACTAATGGGTACAGCATGACATTGACCTCAAGTGTACAGAATTATAGCGAAACATTGAGTCATATTTACAATGAGCTTCCTGCTTCTCGTTGAACGCCACATGTAAACTCACCGATGAGAGAGGAGTCAGAGCCGGTGTTGTGTGGAAGTCCGTTTCCCCTGACTTTAATCTCACTGCAAACACTAAAACACCTAAACACAACCCTAACATGGGAGGAGAACCCTAAGACAGTGAATTGCCAGGAACTGTTTGAAGAGCATCTTCAGAAATACAAGGGGGTAAGTCTTCTTCTTCTGTTAGTTTGACCGCAGTTGGCAATCCTTAATGTTGCAATACTGACATCTTCTGGAGTAGGTTGTCTCCTGCAGTGTTCAGGTTTTCCACATCAATGCTATCATAAAGAAGATAACAAATTATTTTCTGCAGTTCCCCCTTCCACCAAATTAATCATCATCCTTTCTCTGATATATAATTCGTGCATCTCAATCACATGCTTACTCTTGTTGGTACATGACAATGATCACAAAGACCAGTTGGATGCTGCTCTTTTCCCTATTCTCTCCATATTTCTTGCACTATTTTTATTTTATTGTTATTTTAAATTTGTTTTATTGTTTTACGTCCTATATAACTATAGGATAAAATGCTCACCATGAAACACGGTTTTCTCATAATTTCAGTGAAAATGCTCCAAACGGCCCAAAACTTCACAGGTTTGGTAACGATGCAGCCTTCAACGCATCTAAGCGTATTATGGGATGTCATCAAATGCCGTTGGCATGGCGACAGATCATTCGCCATCAAGTTAGTTCAAAAGTTTGCAGTTCAAATATTCTGCTGCTTTTCCAAGCCATTTTACTTTCTTTTCTTCTCTCATCACACATTCAAGCCCCCAGTGTTCATGTATCATTTTAATCTAAATTCTTCACTTTCTTCTTACACATTACATTTCAGCATAGCAGTTTAGCGTCAGCTTTTCAGCATAAAGCATTCCCACTAGTAATTTCTTCAGGAATTGCATTCTCTAGTTCATACTGTAGTTGAAATACCTTAAAGGGGACCTATCATGCAAAATGCACTTTTGTACGTCTTTTATACATGAATATGTGTCCCCGGTAGGGATGTGCATCTCCATCACTGAGGCCGATACGATGCGCATCTCGATACGATACCAATGATACGATACATTAACGATACCTTTGAAACACCAGGCGATGCGATACGATACGTTTCACCCCTGTTGCGATACAGTTCGATACGATGTGATTCAACACGATGCAAAATAATGATACAATTCAATATGGTACGACAGAGGATTTTGTTTTATTCCTTATATGCAGCAAATCATACATTAACAAAAAAGTGCTTCACATATTTGCTTCTCTCTACTAGTACTGCACATCCCATCATGCTGTTTCTTTTTTACCTTAAAAAAAACAAACACTTGGACCTTTCACAAACTGGCCTTTTCACAAGTGTAGTAGTGTTCTCTGTCTCCAGAGTACAGTTCAATTTTCTAACACCTCACAGTTAAACAATTTAAGGATGCCCAGGATTAACAATGTGCAAATAACAACTACCATAGTGCAATGCATATACAACTGCCAGCCTGATGTGCTTAACACTCGTTCATAGGCTAACTCACCAGTGAGCAGAAAGCAGTGGTTTCTATAGGAACAATAAAGAAAATAACCTTTCACAAACAGGTATTTCATAACTGCTTACAATTGTAAGGAAGACATTTAAACTATTATTGGCAGTCACAGGCTGTTGTAAACTAAACACCACTCTCACTGACAGAACACCTCACTGAGGGATTGAACTCATATGTCTAACTTTCAGGTTTCTCTTTTCAGCCGCAGACCCTATGTTGCCTCTATGTGCGTCGCTAAGTTCCTCGTACTACTTGTGTACTTTAAAGCGGCACGGCATCGTTTACAATTTGCGAGCGATTTTTCAAGTTGTCCGTCTTTCTTGAAAAATTCGAAGTGTTGCCAAACGTTTGATTTGTAGGTATTTTTCGGTGCGCTGTGTTTCTCTTTCTCCTCGACTTCCATGTGTGTTGATAACTGAGACTCTCGGCCTCCGTAGTGGCGAAGCAAAGATCAAAGATCGTCTCTGCTGAGTGCTGACAAGATGAGGGGATATTATATGAATGAATCGTTTTTTTACCGATGCAAAGACGCTACAATCGATGCATCGCGAGTTCAACCCAAACTGTAGCCGATTTGCACTCTTTCAACCGGTGCACTCGCATCTTGAACGTTTATGCCGGTGCACCGATGCGAATCGGTGAATCTTAACATCCCTAGTCCCCGGTGTTCCAGGGAACTCACCAAGTGTCAGAAAACACAACCCTCTCTATTTTCCTCCATACCCAAATCTCTAAAAAAGGGGCTGCAACGGATCTGATAAAAACTGATCCAGATTTGAACACTGTCCTGACGTCAGGACAGTGGCGCTACGGCTATTGGGCCAACTCCACCAATCAGGAGGAGACAGCCACGGCCATTGCCGTTCGAAAGCGCTGGAGACGCTGTAGTACATATGCCAGGCCTGTAGATGGTGCTGTTCTCACTGAATCTGCCCTTGCAAAAACAGAGCTAAAAAATGTCAAATTGAGCAAAATGAGGCATGGCTAAAATGCATGATCTGTTTGGTATTTTGAAAAAGAAAAAGTATAAATATGCCTTATATAGGTATGGTCCTACACTATATTATTCAAATATAGCATGATAGGTCCACTTTAATAAACAATGTAACCTGATTTGCATTTATGCAAACAAAATGTTGATCTAAGGAAAATGTCAATACTTAATTTCAATAAGTCCCTTGCTCATTTCTCACAGTTAAATACATTAATATTATACTCCGTAAAGCACATGAACCATGCGATTAAACCATATTTAACTATTTTATTTATATAAAGTCCCAAGCTGTGACCATGACAACATAACTATTTTCTGAGGGTAATAATTGAATGTGTGTTTATGTTGTCTTAGAGAGGCTGTATCCCCTCACCTTGTTTTGTTGTATTTTAACAAAAATGCCTTGCCTAGAAAAAGGACTCGTGTGTCCTAGCTATTATGGGTGGAGACGGCCGCAGTGGTAATCCTGCTGACCTCCTGATCAATAATTCAGTCTCTCTCCGGCAGTGCTCATCAATAATAAATGCCAGGTGGGGTTTTTGGGGAGGAATGTTTCAGGACAGTTGATACGCAGCGGCTCTGAATTGGTCAGACGCGCTGTCATTCTTTACCACGGCCTCAAAGTCCCGCCCCCTGTCATTCATGTAACAGCTGCGTAAAGATACTGGAGCTACAGAAGGACCGGAAGTGTGTCTTTCTTTAAAAAATAAATCGTTCGCGTATAGGTGAGAACTCATGCTCCTTAAAGAACTGTGATAACACTTGTGTGTATATAGATATACTATTATTATGTTATATGTTGATAATAATATATTCTGATTGTTACATCGCTTAAAATGTAATTTTTGGAACCATATTCTTAGTTGCAATATTTTTGCATTACTGCTTTTGGTGAATATAATCAAAGCTGTCATAAACTTTTTTTGTTATTTTATTTTTACAGTATAAGAATATACTTTATTGTTAAATACGTTGACAAGGAGTTTGATTCTATACAGATTGGATTGCATTTGGCTATGCCTACAAAGCAATAATGCCAAATTCAAAAACATAAACATGCGGTTATGTGTTTTCTTTTAGTTTTGATCGTCTAATCTTCATTATAAGGTCTGCATGTATTTTAATCTTAAAGTATTCTCCTTATTTTTCAGCAGCCTTTATTTTGGAATGTGTAACCGGAAGTGGTTTTGCTCAGCTTATCTCACTTGACAGTGGTGGTGTTTCTGCTGGTGCTGAACGCGGTGGATAGCAGCCGGATAGAAAAATTATAAAGGTGAGATTTCTGTCTTTATTAATATATTGCATAGACATTCATTTTATACTTAAATGTTCTGTATTATACATCTATTGTTTCATCAGCGCAGCCTGTATTTGGATATTAAGTAAGGATTTAAGATTCAAGAGCCTTTGACAAAAGATGCTCGCTTTAGAACAGCTGTTTTCATTGTGAAACCCATCATTTCGTGTCAGACGCGTCAAACACAATGTTTATTCGTGTTATCTTTGAGGATGGATGTGAAGGCTGCTCCTGGTTTAGTGGATCTCTGGTTCGACTCCGGGCCTGTCCTGCAGGAAAAGGCGTTTCACACTGTCCGATGGTTTAAATCAGGAAAATGGGTCTAAATGTGTCTGAGGCAGGAACAGTCGCTATTAAATTCAAACACTGAAAATACACTCATAAAGCAAACTGGGCAATAGTATTCATGTTTTTTTACACGCAAACATCCAACTATTATCCAAAATGTTCAATTATTTCAATGGTTATCGATTATTATCAAGAAATAACATCAATGCACCATATGATACCATATACTTACTACTGTTGCGAATATGTTTATTATTATAGGAAGATTATTGAATCTAATACATGAAATATTGAGCCATTATGGAAGACTGTTCCACTGTAGTAGGGTGAAACATTTGGTCCTAAACCAATCAGATCTTGGTTAGTGGCTTCATATTTCCATTCTGCAACAGCAGCACATTTCACTACAGATGTGATGTAAGAATAAAGACTGAGAAATATATATATTTGGTCCAGAATTTGTGGATTTTTAAAATGTATTTTTAGGTACGACTGTGTATATAAATGAAAAGATAGACAGAGACAGAAACCAAGATGGTTGGCTTAAATTACCTTATTTTACTGTTTTCAAAGCTTACAATGTTAAAACTGTGATGTAATTGTTGATTCAGCCTTTTCAGTCAGCAGTTTGGTCATTAAAATGAATCAATATAAATGCACAATACCAAGAGCTATTTAGGCTATAAGATGAAAACTCTTCTGGTATGGTGATTTCACATTTTAACTGCAATGAGAGCATTTTCATGTTTTGAAAACAGTCTGAATGTGAGCGGACAGTTTGCAGGTTGCATCTTCACTTCCTCTTCTGACAGTAAAGTTAGGTAGTGAGACTCGAGGGCGATAGTGACGCTACTGCTGTATCTCCTGGGAAAATCCATGTTGTGACAAAAACTGCCCCAGTACAAACCAGAATTAGATTCAAAGGTTGGGTCGATATATTTTATAGCATTTCAGATATTACTGTGTCAGAGTTATGAGTTCCGATCAACCTCTGCTGCAGAAAAACAGTTGTTGCTAAATTAAGTCATTTTAAACCTCAGAGACTTTTATT